ATATACATATACATATACATATACATATACATATACATATACATCATATACATATACATATACATATACATATACATATACATATATATATATATATATATATATATATATATATATATATATATATGATTTTTACAACCCCTGGTAAGCCCCAATTAGAGGTCTAAATATTTGAAAATCTTTTTAATAGTATTTTAGCTTGAGGTAAAAAATGAAATTTATACAGTAGCCATTTCTATGCAGCAGTTTTCCCTATTCTACTCCTCTTCAGAAGTAGTGTTACATTAGTCCCTAGATTCATATTATTGTGGCATTTGGCTAGCTGGAGATTCTGAGAGTTCTGGTAACATTACATACATCTAGAGTGCCCTTCCCCACCTTTTCGGCACCAGGGACCAGTTCTGTGGAGAACAGTTTTTCCTCAGACTGGGGGGCATGGTATCGTGCACTGCCTGGATTCTGCACATGCTCAGGTGGGGCTTGCGGGGCTCGGTTCCTGGTGTTAGTCCGCAATGTGGGAGTTGGGCGCCCCTAATATAGAGGATACCAGCAAAAACAGCAGTTGTATAACTGGATTATTAATTACAATAAAGTATATCTGTTCTAAACAGCTAGGTAGCATGATCTGGCTGGACAGCTTTGGTTACTGCAGAATATTGAATTTGGTGGACATCTTCCATTTACATACTGCATGGAATTCCTGAACATGAAAATACAAATACTTTATGAAAAGATTACCTAATTTACATTTTAAACTAATAGATTTCCCCCTCTTAATTAAAGGTTGATATATATTAGATTTGCAGAATTGGGAGAGGAAAGGGAAGTGAAATTGTCCCCTTGACACAGAGTGGGAAATGGCCACAATTACTTTTATTTTTTTTTATTACTATGCTTGGAATGCCAATACACAGTTTGAGCTTAGCTTAAGTTATAGTATAGCCTTATAATTATGGGTAAACTGTATATGGTATTTTGACATTTAAAATAAAATGAAATACTTACCGTATTTTTTGCTCCATAAAATGCATCTGACCATAAAACAAACTTTGGTTTAGAGGAAAACAAGAAAAAAAAATCAGGCAGTGTCTGAGGGGACCAGAGATAGGTGTCCTCTCATGTCCCAGCCCTGTTGACTCCTGCACTGCAGAAAAGAGAGAGAAGAGGCGGGCAATGGCAAAGACAGAAGAGGCAGAGTTCAACACTGTAAAAGGACCCTGCTGTGGCAGCCCAGCTGTTCACCAAAGGACCAGCACCATCCACCTTTTCAGGGTGGGGGGGGAGTGTTCTTACGGAGCAAAAAATATGGTATATTTAATTGTTTTAATTCATTAGGGCAATATATGACCATTGAGTCATGCTTTGAGACAAAGGCGGTGCAGATACTTCCACTGCCCCGCCCCTCCTTGACACACACAGTAATTATGGTGATGTTATTTTTCTCAATAAGGGTGGAGATAGCATCCATGCATGGGTTGACACTGTCCATGCTCTGATTGGACTGAGTCTGATTACTAATTAATTAATCTCCTATATTACCTGCCTCCATGAGTGGCACCACCCAGTTTCCGACTCAGTCCACTCTGGGACGGTTGTGTTATCCTTTCCATCTCTAGTACTTTTTCTATGGTTGCTCAGAAATTTTCAGGAATTCATGTGTCTAACTGTGAGTACTGTCAGATTAAGGGCTCTAATGCTCAACTTCCGGCTGGGCTGCTGCCTACAGATGTGCGTGCACCGCTCTCCTTCGCCTTGACAGGGAGCTATTGCTTCCTCTCGCTATTTCAAAGGCACATTGAAGGTAAATAGACAGTGGCGGCAGCGAACTGAGGCGGCTGGTCTCCTGGACAGCCTCCAGAGTTGGGGGAGAAGCCCTTTTGCTGCGCAGCGGCAGGGCGGCGCAAAAAGGACGCACCCACATTTATGGGCAAGCAGGAAGCCTTTGGAGGATAGCGTGGAGGTGCAGGGCGATGTAGAGACCGCGGAGCCATGAGGAGGCTCCTAAGGCAGCAGACAAGCCAGGTGCCGAAGTGCCAAAAGCTGCAGCGCAGCCGGCAAGGCATTCACAGGCCAAATGTCACCCCAGCCAACACCTAGCTCCTGAGGTTTTTCACAAGGTTCAGCACACAAGGTTCAGCATGACCTTCACAGCCCTTGGCCCAGGGATCTTCTCTATGTGTTTCCCCCAGTCCCTCTCCTTCCCAGGGTCATCCGCAAAGTCATCTGTGTCATAGCAGAGATCATCCTTCTGGCCCCTCATTGGCCACGGTAACCGTGGTTTGCCAACCTGCAGTTGTTGTTAGTGGAGAGACCTTGGAGGATTCCACCGGACAGAATTGTCCTCACCCAGGGGTCACTGGAACACCCGGATCCCCAGTGGCTTCAGCTGACACGTGGTGGTTGAGCAGCTTGCTTTGAGGGAAAACAATCTGTTAGACAGGATCATAACCACCATACAGGCCTCCAGGAGGCCATTGACGGTCTGCATTTACAATGCCACTTGGAAGATTTTTCTAATTGGTGTGCAGCCAAACACCTTTCACCAGTTGATTCCACCATCCCTCAGGTTCTGGGTTTTCTCCAGGATGGTCTGGAGAAGGGTTTATCGCCTAGGAGGCAGGTGGCAGCTTTGGGCACCGTACTTACCTGGGGTGGGGGACAATCGCTGGCACATCCCAACGTGTGGGGATTCTTCAAAGGGGCGGTTAATCTAAAACCCCTGGCAGTGCATAGATATCTGACCTGGGAGCTCGCAAAGGTATTGGAAGCCTTGATAGATCCACCTTTTGAACTTCTCCGGGTGGTGTCCTTACACTTACTTACCTGGAAGGTCGCTTTCTTAGTGGCTGTGATGTCAGCGAGGCGTATATCAGAGCTGCATACCTTATCGGTGTGAGAGGACCTCTGTAAGTTCCAGTTACAGACAGGTGTTCCTCAGGCTGGATCCTTCCTTTATACCGAAGGTTGGGTCTTGCTTCCACTGCACACAAGAGGGCCAAACCTTTGCCCCTCACCCAAACATGGATTAGAGCATCAATGGCACAAGTTAGATGTGTGTCAGGCTCTAATAATTTACATTGATCGTATGGCAGAGTCCAGACGATCAGAGGCCCTTTTTGTATCGTTCCAGAATTCTTCCCTAGGCCATAAGGTCTCAGCAGCAACCATAGGCAGGTGGATCACATGTTGCATAGCTGCAGCGTATGACTCTCGTCAGGAGACAACGTCAGCAGGAGTAATGGCCCACTCTTCAAGGAATGCGGCCACAACAATGGCTTGGACAACGCAGGCTTCCCTGGACGAAATTTGTAGGGCAACTACGTGGTCCTCTCCATCCCCTTTTATTCACAATTACAAACTGGACAAGTTTGCATCAGCCGATGCTGCTTTTGGCAGGAGTGTCCTGCAGGCTGTTCAGTCGGGCGGGTCAGTTTTGGAACAGTCTACTATCCACCCTTGAGGACAGTACGGCTTGAGTATGTCCCATGCATGGATGCTACCTGTTTGGTTGTGCACTCGCGCGCGATGCTTCTGCACGCGCGCAGAAGCAACCGGGTTGATGGGCGGAACTTCCTGCCGCCACTACTACTGGTTTGGCCGATCTGGGGCAAATTGGTGGCAACTCACCTCTGTTCTGTTTCCTATCTTTTGAATTCTGAATGGAATGAGAATTGTAACTGTTAACTTGTCTGCATTTGTTGTTGCAATCTCCATGAAGAATAAAAAGACACCATTCTCAAAATACCACTCTATTTCAAATAAGTAATGAATAGTTTTCCTGAACTTTTAAGTGAAACTTCTTACAATTCTTTGTTTCAGATGATTTTGGCCACTGGGGAAAAGGTGGTTTATTCACAGCGCTCAGGAATCGTTCTGACCAACCAAAGGAAATATATGAACTAGCAGGAAAGATGAAAGGTAAGTCACCTTTCCATTATTTTAGTGGATGATACCCAGCTTTGCAAATCCAAGATATCCAGAGGCTGAGTTGCCACCACTCATTCAAATATTAATCCCAGCCAGTCTTTTACACAGGAATGAGTTTAAAAGAAGCATACAATCCCTGCCCATATATAATATTGCAGGGAGATGTTTTTCTTTGCCTGCTACTTTTTTATCTAAGGAAAGCCATAATAATGCTAAATGAAAAAGAATGTGACAATTTATTCCTTATTAGTGTTATTCAGCTATTCAAAAACCTTTCTCTCAATTTAAATCTAAATAGGACTAAATGTTTCTACCCCTGTTAATTGTTTTGTAGACCTGACATTAGGAGGAACTCTTTTATTCTCCATTGATGATAAGAAATCCAGGAGTAAAGGATCAGATTGGGTAATTACATAGCAATGTGTTTTCTTTTAAAAATTCTAAATTGCATTCTATGCAGATAAGAACCCAATAAAATACATAGTTGATATTCTGCATTGATAATAAGAAATCAAGGAGGAAAGGGACAGATTTGGTAGCTGCCCAAACATATTTTTCTTTAAGTAGTTTTAAATTGTATTCTATGCAGATAGGAACCCTATAAAATGCATAGTTGAATATTAGTAAAAGTTGCAGAATAAGTGTAAAACAGTTTACATCTTACTAAGCAAAATGCATGGAAACTACTCTGTTTTTTAGTTATAGTAGTCTTGGCTAGGTTGTCTCTGAATTCCTTTCTTCCCATTTTTACATAATAACACACTAAAGGAAAATAACAATTAAATTATCAGGATTAGTTCAAAGTCAGAAGACATAATATTTGTAAAAAGGGATGAGAATTATTATTTTTTTTTGACAATCTATTCTGTGTACTCTATTTGCTCACTAGTCAAAATGTAATATCTTTCTAGCTGGCTCTTATTGTAGCACAGCACCGGGACCATTCAAACAACTTGTCTGGAATTAAGCTTCCTGCATTAGAAAAAGGATTGAAGAAAATTTATCATGAAGCCAAGAAAAGAAATGGTAAGCATGGCTGTCTCAGGGCTTTTGAGATGGAAGAAATATGATAGTTGTCTATACAAAATTTTGAATTTTGACAGGGGTGATAGATATTGCAAATGAACAAATTGGATAAGATTGCTTTATAGCACAGAAGCAATTGAACTAATGGAACCACTACTAGCCTAGTGAAAAACGAATGGCTATCCTACAGGCTGTCAAATGGCAGTGACCATCGAGACAAAAAAGGAGGGGAAAAGAAGATAAATGACTGAATGTATCAGCTGATGACAACCAACTGCAATATGAGTGTGGAAATAGTAAAAATTAATGTCTGGACCCCTAACCACCTCTTCTACCACCATTGCTACTCTTCTATGCCCTATTCATACTTTATTATTTAGACAGAATTCATTACTGATTTCATGGGACTGAGGTGGCATGTTAACATTTGCATTATTTGGTGAACATAAGGAAAAGCTATCAGGAAAAATGAACCCCAAGAGCAAAACTGTTGGCAACATGTTACTTGCAGGTGATAAAATATCAAGACTGTCCCCACAACTCTGAAGCAGAACAATCGTTTCATAATATCCCCCCCCCCCCAAGGAAAACATGCAAACATTGGCTGAAGAGTCTCTTTTAAATGTCTCAGTAGCTCGTTCTCCCTGGGGGGGAAAAGACTTATGTTGTCTTATGGTGACTCATTTCTTAGAGGTACAGAATCAGCAGTCTATAGACCTGATAATCTGTTGAGGGAGGTAAATTGTCTCCCTGGAACTAAGATCAAAGATGTGACAGAGAACTTACCAAAATAATCAAGCCTTCTGGTTATTATCCATTTCTTCTTTTTCATGTTGGTATGAATGATACAACTAGGAAAATAATATCTGGAGCCCATAAGCAACTGGGCAGGAAAGCAAAATAATATAGGACATGATAGTCTTCTCTTCCGTACTCCCAACTGTCAACACCTAATGTGGCAATGGAGGATTTTAGAAGTAAACTGCTAGTTCAAGGGATGATGCTATTGAGTGAACTTTAGATTTTTTTAGACCATGGTTTACAATACTTACAGGAAGTGCTTCTGGCAAGAGACGGGCTGAACCTCACAAGCACTGAGAAAGATATGTGGAAAACAACTGCCACAACTCATCAAAAGGGCTTTAAACTAAAAATGGAAGTGGAAGGTGACCAATCTTTAAGACCAAACCCCAAACATAAACTGCAACACAAAAAAAATCTGACAACGAGGAAGGCAGTGGTAGGAAGGAAAGGGAACTTGGATATAAAACAGCATACATAAAAAAAAATAATGTTAACCATAATGAGCTTAGATGCCTCTAATGCTCAGAGTTTGGGGAACAAGCAGGGAGAACTTGAAGTCCTAGTTCATGAAGGCTGGTACGATATTGTTGCCATTACAATTTAGTCTCTGGTAAAGAAGTTGAAAATCACCTCATCCAGCTCCAGTCCCCACTGTTCATACACCGCTCCAGCACATTTCTTTCTTTGGTTGTCCCAGCTTCATGGCGGCCATAATGGCTACCTCTCTTCATTGTTGGCTAGGAGGATAAGCCTTGGATCAAACAGGAGAATTGCCACTCTCCGCAATCTGCGAGGTGTCTTTTCTTTGTCACTCCTTCAAGAGGACTTTAGCAGTTTAAGGGCCCCCCAACAAAGAGAGTTCAGCCTAGGTTCGCGGAGCCCCGTGCCCTCCGTCTGTCCTGCAGCAACTCCAAACCAGAAGTCCCTCTCCTGGCCTCATTTTTTTAATAGCTTCTGATATTTCAAAAAACATTATTGGATCATTCGTAAGTTGTTTCTGGGTTTGTAAAATTTAGGTAACTGTTGTTTTGAAAGGTATTCACCTTTTTTAATAAGTCAATCTCCTGTCTTTTACTAATTTGAATAAAAATGAAAGGATTTTTTAATTAGTTCATTGCCTTAGTACATTATTGCCTTCACAAATTTTTCCAATTATTGTCTTTTTATAGTTTATTAAACTTTTCTTTTCTTAATTTATATACTAACCATCTGTCTGGTTTGTTAGCAAATTCAAAATGTCTTTGTTTCGCATAGTTCAATTTTGTTTCTATTTCTTGTACAGTTAACATAGATAATTGTTGCCATAATAGTTTAATATGGTGTAAAATTTTAGTATCTATAAGTGTCTTTTGCCTAATTTCATCCATTCTTTGTATCTTTTCCTGGGATTTTTTCTTCTCTAGGCGATTGTACCGTATGAAATATCCCCTCATGACTGCTTTATTAGTATCCCATATTGTCATTAACCTTGTCCCTTTTCCCAAATTATTCTCAAAGTATTCCTGCAATTTCTTTTTAGTCTTTTACAATCCTTTCCTTTTTCAAAATAGCTTCATTTAGTTTTCATCTGAAACTCGAGCTTTCCTCTTAAAACCAAAAGCACTGAGTTATGGTCTGAGAAAGATTTAGGCAGAATATCCACTTTCAGAATTTTATTTAGTATAGCCTTTATTGTTATTGTACAAAATAAATACAATGAAATTGGTTATTTGCAAGATTTTTAGATATCCATATCATATCAATCCTTGAAAAAGATGTATGTCTTTCAGAGAAGAAGGTATATTCTCTGGCATCTCCATTTTTATATCTCCATGAGTCAACTAATGCTAAATTATTAGGGTGACTTGATAGTTTTCCAGTACTTGAGGAGCAGTCACAGAGAAGAGGAGGTTGATTTAGTCTCCAAAGCTTCTAAGGGCAGAAGCAAAAGGTGGAATCTTGTTAAAGAGAGATTCTACCTGGAACTAAAGAGAAATGTCTTGATAGTGAGAGCAGTTAATAGTTTACATTGCAACAAAATGAGCTTCCAAATGTTGTCTTTGTATGAAAATAATGTAAGATATCATTTTGTTTATAACGTCATAATTAGTTCCTTCTACACCAATACATTATTATTGGTGCTGCATATCAGATATTTTCTCTCTTTATTCTTTTCCTCAGCAAGCATTCATCTTCCTCGCATTGGCTATTCAACCAAAGGCTTTAATTGGTATGGAACAGAACGCCTCATTCGCAAACACTTGGGATCCAGAGGAATTCCCACATTTGTGTATCCTTACATGTCTTATACTGCTCAAAATAACAATTGTTATCTGTATTTCAGGGTCAATTAAGACTTTCCAAGAATCACACTACAATGAATTGCTTTTACTTATTCAACAGGCTAAGGAAACCAGACAAAGATGTTTATTGAAAAAATAGAACTGATGAGTTCTGATGAGACATTTGTTGAGATATGAACAACTGGGTATTTTGATGATATAGACCGGGTGTCGGTAACCTGTGGTTCCAGAACTGCATGTGGTTCTTTGACCTCTCTCCTGTGGCTCCTTGCTGACCCGGTCTCATGACCTGCTCTAGCCCAAACTGGTCATGGCCAGCATCAACCTCGCTAACATGAGGGCTGGCAAGGTGGGAATAGGATCTGGGAGAAGTGTACTACGGAAAGAGGGACAAGCCTGCACCAGAGGAGCAAGCCCAAGCCACGGGGGTGGCTTCCCCAAATACCTCCTCTTCACGTGACCCCCTGGCCAGCTGTTGTGGTGCCAGGAGGGTGCGCACAAGTGAGGATACCCTCAAGTGAGCAGCCGGGCTTGACCAAAGCACAGCAAATGAGTGCAGAATGGCTGGGTTGACTTTTTTAGCAAGAGTGCTCCAGCTTTCTCCAAGCCAATGCCCTGAGCTTCTTTACTCCTCCAGCTGAGCAGGGCCGCTGACAACGTTCATTGAAAAGTGTTCTCCGGGCAGAGAAAGAAGAGAGAGAAATGAGAGAGAGAGAGAAATGAGAAAATGATGGAGGGAGAGAATGAGAGAGAAGAAAAAGAGAAACAAATGAGAGAGAGAGAGAAGGGGGAGGGAGGGAGAAAAGGAGAGAAAGAAAAAAGAAAAAGGGAGGAAAAAACGAGAGGGAGAGAAAGAGAAAAGGGGAAAGAAGGAGAGAATGAGAGCAAAAAGAAATGAGAGGGAGAAAAAATGAGAAAATGATGGAGGGAGTGAGGAAAAAAAAACAAATGAGAGAGACAAGGGAGGAGAGAGACAAGGGGGGAGAGAATGAAAGAGAGGGCAAGAAAAAAAGAAATGAGAGGGAGGGGGGAGAGAGAGACCCATTTCCCACAGAAAAGAAAACACCAGGAGCCACAAAATCTCGGTAGGTGTGGCTGGGAGGAGGGTCATGTGACTGGGTGTGAGTGACATTGAGTTGGCCAGGCCATCCACGTTTTGTGGCTTCTGGTGTTTTCTATGGGAAACAGGTCCAAATGGCTCTTTGAGGGTTTAAGATTGCAGACCCCTGATATAGACAATCCAAAATGATTCCCTCCCCTTTTAGGTTAGACATTTTTTCATGCAATAATGTGTTGTATTTCAGCTTGCAGTTCTAGAACAGTGTGTTCAGATTCTTTTAATTAGTATGAAAGAAAGGCTTTTGAAGTCATCCTATAAATGTTAATTACAATTGAGCAAATATATTCACAGAAGGCTTGCCTGGTTTGATTTTTTTCTCCTGTTTTCCTGGTGAGAGCAAACATTGAGGCAAAATAATGGAGCTTATAACAAAAAATGTACTTTAAAAACTCAAACTGCTGGATGACATGGTTACCATACACATTGAACGTGGAAATATTCATTGGTCTGGGAACAGGTACACTATGTGATATTACCTAGATGAGGCATTCGCAAAGAAAGATATTTCTTTTTTTGGATGCAAAAAGATGACATTGTCAACTCTCTGTGTTGACATTCCATGCAGAGCGGTGGTGAAGCCGGATCTCAGATTACAGTAGTTGGGTTGAAATGAATGAAGCTATTGGATAACGTGATTTATGACAGGCTGAAGGGAGGACAGAAACGGGGCAAAGTTCAAAAGCAGAAAAAGAAAGCAAAAAGGATGGCTGAGAATAAGAAATGCCTAATGAAGCTGTTAATAAATCACTGCTTTTTGTATTACAACATTGCATCACTTATTATGAAGCAGGCATCGTTAGGGTACTTTACAGACATATAAGTTCTGCCTCCCAAAATCACTTGATTCTTTTTTCTTTTTATTTAACATGGAAATTATCAAAGGCCTTTCCACAACCTTTGCTAAGAACAAACTCTAGTGAAGATTTTGGAATCCTTTAATATCTGTTCTAATATTTGCAACAGTAACAAAAAATATCAACATTAAGTGAAGCTTATTTTCAAATTAGCTCTATGACAGGCATAGGATATAAGAGAGCAATTTACTGTTTAAGTTAAGCTGATAATAACTGGCAATTCCTTAACTATGTTCTTCAGATACTACTATCCAAGAAATCGTCTTCAAAATAATCCACAATAGCAATATTACAATCTTAAAAGTTTTCCAGCTATTAAGCGGAAATTGGCATTTTCAGTGGATAAACTGAATTAGATATTCACTTTTGTTTTGTTTTTGTTTTTGTGTTAATTAGAATTGTATTTTACAGTTCTGAATACTGTCTATATTAATGGGGCAAATTATGCTTTAGAAAAAATATCCAAAGCTTCAGAGATGATCTGAAAAAATGAAGTGTTAAATGAAATTTGATAAAGAGAGTGATTACATAATAAAAGAATTATCTGAAACCAATGTAGAATTTGGATGATTTACTGGAGTTTTAAGTTTTACTATTCAAGTGTGTGTGACTGTTACTTCAGGGATTTTTAAAACTCTAGCTCATTTGAAATTGAGAGTATATAATTAAAATATTTTAAATAAACAATATACATTGTCATAGATTACAAGTATATTAGGAAGAGCAGTGTTGTAGTTCACAACCATTATTTTTCCGGAAGGCTAATTAAAATGCTGTGGACCCACAGTTATTTCAATATTTGTAAGCACCTGCCAGTTAAATGGTGCCAATTATGTGTTTTTTTTAACCCAACAGCAAAAAAAAAAAAAAAAAAAAGGATCAACTTTGTTTAAATCCAAAATTTCCAGGCAGTAGGTATAACATCTTTTCACCGAAGAAAGCACTGATAGGGAAGGTGTAATTATTCCAAATGAATTCAGATATCTATTTAGAAAGTATGAGTTTATTTTTTTTATTTTACCTTGGAAAATACATCTTTGAAAAAAAATATTTATACTTTTTTCTTTAGCATCCATAGGTGCTTGGTGAGGAGTGTATTGCCCCAGTCAATTTACTTTATACATCATAATAATACTAGTGATACTATTTATGCATACATAGTAAAAATCTTTCAACTTCTAATATTTACATATACATAGTAATAATAATGTTTTTTATTAAGTAGAAGTGTAAAGGTAAAGGTCCCTGCACTCCCATGGTGACATCTCCCCATTGGAGGGCTCCAAAAGGAGCTAAAACCATCCTGTAGGAGTGGTGAAGAAAAGAGGGGTGTCCTGCAGGTCACGAAGAGCCATTTAGTCTTCCGCTTGACCCAGGGCTTTATTCCTCTCATCCACGACGAGGAGAAGAGGCAGCCATCATCGCTGCCATGAAGCTGGGATAGCTGAGGCAACAAAGAAACTGCAGGAACGATGTAGATGAACAGTGGCTTGAGCTGGGTGAGAAGATTCCTTTTTTTAATTTAGACCCTAACCTTAAAAAGAAATAATCATAGAGAGAAAAATCCTAGACCCAAAAGAAAGAAATTAAGGGGAGAAAAGCTAAAGACTTTCTTTTTTAAAAAAAACAGAAAATTGGATAGCTTAAACTGGCTAGGCGCTGTATTGGAAAGGCATAAAATTCTGGAACTATTTACCTGAATAGCCGACTTTGCTTTCATAAACTGAATTAAAAGTTAATCAATTTGTTAGATTTGAAGTAACGCTGAAACCTAAGATAAGGGTGCCATCTACTGGTGAATGGAAAATATACCATATCCCAAAAAGACTGGGAATTTTTGATTAGAGACCCAAACAATATCTATTTGGAGAATTATGGTGATTTACTGTTCTATAAATATCTATTTTATGATTACTGGAGATTCTATTGTGAAAATAAGGAAGACTCTTAAAGAAAGTAAAGTGACTTTTGGAAAGTTACCTGGACTATCTGGAATGGATTAATAACCCTGAGATACAAAGATTTATTATTGAATATTCTGAGGAGCAACATCAGACTTGATTTTCTGATTGTTGATAAGAATGGGACTTATTAAAACAAGACAAGAGGCTTTACCAAGGAAAGATGAGTGGGACCCCAGCATTGATGTTTCAAGACATTAAGGATGTTATGACAAAATTACAGAGAAACACACAAGGCATGAATGGGAAAATGGGAAATATCTTACAATTGATAATGAATGAAGATCAAAGAGTCCATGAAAGAGAGGAAACAACAGAAAGAACAGAGGGAAAATCAGAACAGACAAATTGGCAAATAAAACAAGAAGATGAAAAGGAGAAGATGACAAAAAATAATAATGACTGATGAAATAAACCAAGGAAAAAGTACTTTAAGACATTTAAAAATGGAATCCGATAAGCTGCAAGATACTTTTGAAAGGGAGATTGGGGCATGGATGGATATTTTGGAGACCTAGCAGATTAAGAGGATAGAGATGGGAGAAATACCCAGATTGAATGGTGAAGACATAAATGTTTATAGAGATAAAGATCCAAGAGAGGAGTATGGGAGGCAAGTTAAAAAACAAATAAAAATTGAAATGGGAAAGAGATGATGGATAGAAGGAAATATTTTCTTTTTCTTCTTTTCTAATATAATGATGGCCTTATGAAAACTAGAATAGAGACAGAAATAAAAATACACATTTTTACATAAAGTAATAGGTAGATGGAAAGATTGGAGGTTGAAAGATAGTATTATTGTGTATGTTTAAATAATATGATTGGCATTAGAATGGCGTATTGAAATATTGAACAACCAATAATGAAGGACTATGTCTTAATATAAACACTAGGTTAAGTAATGATGACCTGACTAGAATTTGGAATGGAGGCAGAAGTAAGAAATAAGGGGAATATTAACATATATACTTTTTATATGATAGAATATGAGTAATAATCAGATGGAAACATTAGCAGTTAAAGGATGGTATTACTATGTATGCTTAAATATTATTGGCTTTAAAATGGAACATTAAATATAGATTAATTATTATAAAGCAAATATGTATATTAATAATGGGATTATACAAATTCTATTAATATAACAAATTATTAATGTTATTGTTATTTGTAACAAGATGAATTATACTGAGACCACACTCTTCATATATTAATATTGATGTAGATTTAAAAATAAAAATTCTATAAAAGTGGTGGGGGGAGAACTTGGGGCAGTACTTACCTGGAAGTTTCCACTTACACAGATGTACCTCTGTACACTGCATGTTCTTGAAATTACTAGCATGTATAATAGCCTCCTCAATTTTGATAATTTTATATGTTGTTCTCACATGATACTGCAATATTCCCTTTCTTTTATGGAGTGTTTGTGTCTGTCTAATCCATAAAATTATTACAAATACTGTAGAAACTTGTGGATAAACCAACACTCAACTTTCTAACCCAAATTCCATGAAAAATGTGTCATCTGCTGATAACCCAATTATGAAAATTTTGAGGATCAGCATATCCATGGACTGGCTTATCCTTAAGTATATATGGATACTTCAAAAACATATTGCTGAATATGCTCACATATAAAGCAATTGAAGGTGTTCTGACCCAGCCTTAGCAGAAGCAAGAAACAGACTCCTTGTCACAAAACCCCCTCTTTACTTATCTCTTGTGAAATAATTGCATTCATCCACCGAAAAGTCCAGGCAATAATTCTTCAAGGAGTTAACTGCAGTAACAGACCTTATCAGTTACTGGCAATAATTGCAAGGCCGTGAGCTCCCAGCTGAAAGGATGCAAATTATGTTCTGGCAAGCAGTCATAGTGGCACGAAACACCATGATTAAAATCTTCAGAAATATGAACTGTTGTCTCCTACAACAACCACTCCCCT